GTCTGAAACAAATGCAGAAAGAAGAAACACATACATTATTAACAAAGTTAAAGTAAACCACTCCTTCCTGTAAAATAAAGCAATAAGAGGTAGCATGATCTAGAATATCATGATAATTCATATGTCTAGCAATGAAAGTGATGCAAAGGACTGGAAATTTAACAAGAAAGCTAAGAGGGGCAGTATGCTCCTCTCCACCATCATGTTTGTAGCCTTCAAACAAAGGCAAACACTTAGCAATTAATGTAAATAATGATCTATAAATAGAGAAATTTTTATAAAAAATTAAAGAAATTTTTATAAAAAATAGTTATAAAATGTTGATTTTATACAAGTTTAAAACGGCCTCACAAAAGAACCATGAAAGCTACCTCATCGCAGTTGGTTGCAGCCGCTTTGTAATAATTCATCCTGCAAAATGAGATGAAAACATAGAAAACATATTTCCTTTGTTTTTTATCAAGACATCCCCTTAAGCAAAATACAATTTACCTGTGGCCACACTTTCAAAATTCGCTAAGTGAACGTAAGTGCTTACGCTCTATTTTCTTGTCTATGATTGGTGAATTTTGCTTGAAAGGCCGTCAATGATTGGCTGATGACCTTTCGATCTCTTAACTTTTTTTGAAAGTATAGGCCCTGACCTAAAAATAAGATAGTGTTACAATGAGCTGTATTCACCAACAACAAATGAAAGTGTTCTCATTTATATCTCTAGGTTGAAACTAGCTATTTTGACATAGTATACACAGCTATACAGTTTACAGTAGCTGAATATTTTTTGGGGGTTTGAATGATGAATTAATGGCTGTAAACAATTAATATTAGCCCTGGAAATTTCTCTATGGCTGCAAAATTGATGTAATCATGGCCAAAAGATTCCTTTTGTGGCTTTGAAAGTAGGCATTTCTCATACTACCTGCTCATTTAGCATGTGGCTAAATGCTAGCTAAGGCATATACAGAGCTTGCAAAGGTTTCAGCATCAATCACTATACAGATTCCAGGCTGCAGATTTAATGCAAAGCAATCAGGGACTCATTTTTATAAAAGGTTCACTGCATTGATCCAAGTGTGCAGGTTTGCTGAAGATTATAATTCCTCTTTTTAAAGAGGTTTTGTTTGAATGTTTTATTGTAGTAGAACTTACCAACATTTTAGATGAGAGCACAGATATTTCAAGTTATACATAACTTTCTAAGCCTAGTATATTAATTACCATATTTATGAGGTAGAAATTTATTCACTTTATATGGCTTCAGCCTACAGTGACAGATGCAACTAGACAAGCAGCAGTTCTTGCATCCTGGGTGGGATTCTATGGGGTGAATATGTTAACAAGTGAGTATGCAAATTCTGTCACCAGCACTGAAATTTGATGTGTCGGAGATCCCTGCTTGCTTTCCATAACCACAATAAGGAGAGATGACTAATCAAATTTACAAATTTGCAACACCAAACACGACCCATGGTCAGGATCACTCCTTCTATTTGTGGAAGCATTGCGTATAAGATGGCTCACCATTGTTGAATTGATGGAAAATAATTATGAAGAATTGACCTGAACTGCAATAGAATCTTTAGGCAGTGGAATCCTTTGTACATTTTGGGACAGAAATTTAGGTTCAAAGCTATTAAAAGAATTTTGAAAATCCCTTACAATTTTCATTACTTTTCATTAAACTTCTTGAACCTGTAGTAAGCAGATGTAGAAATATGCAGAAATTCAAATTTACGAGGCTAATGCAAGAAAGTATGGTCATTTCAAAGGTATATTTACGCGTGTAAATATACCTCGTGTGCATTTTCCAAAATTTTGTAAATTAAAAAATAAAATCCCTGTTTGTGATTCTGAAATATAGTCACTATACTAAAAAATATATATACTCTTGTACTTGACTAAAATTAAACATGCAAATGAAATGGATAGCTTGTTTCAATCTGATGTTATGTTAAAATACTGATGTAAATTGAAGAGAAATTGCTTCTTCAGTGATAAAATATATAAATGACAAGATATCATCAAATTTGATGCCTGTGCTACAACTATTATAATTCATAAAAACGTGTGAAAAGTGAGATTTTGGTAAAGTACTTCTGCTAAGGTCTGTAGCAAAAGAATATTTCCTTTTGCTAAAAAGTTGCACACAGGTGTTAGCTTGAAAACTTGATTGCCACAATTTGCATGACTCAATCCAAAATAATATATGTTTAAAAATTACTTTTTAAAGACAACACTTCTAAAGAATCCAGTGTTTTCAATGTTACAGATGTAGAATGAATTTCTAATTTTATTTTTGAATATTAAAAAATTAATTTTTCAATTTTTCTAATATATACATTTTTTCAAAATTATTTATTCTGTCAGATTGATTTGTGCATTGCCTCCAACTTCACACAAGTGTGCAAAATTTCATATCAATTGGACAGGTAAAAGTGTGTCAAATATCAATTATAAAATTTGTAGCTGACAAAATTATTTTTTCAGTGTTTTTTAATATTAAAAAAAATTAATTTCATTCATAAAATTATTCATTTTGTCATTTGATTCATGCATAAAATGCGGCCACGAATTTTACGTGACACAATGACAGAACATACCCCTGCAGAGCTGCACACAACTTTTCTCCTTGCTATCTGCCGGGTAACTGAAGATATACAAGTTTGAACCTATCGCCCGTACGGCATTCGGGCCAAATCAGCAATCGCGGCCAACGTGTTAAAATCATTCATTTTGACATTAGATTCATGCATTGTCTCCAACTTTACACAAGTGTGCAAAATTCCAGATGGATAGGATAAGTAGAAAGGTGTTAAATTTCGATTATAAGATTTGTAGCAGACAGACAGACAGACAGACAGACAAACAAGGAGTGAAGTTAAAGAAAAGTGTTGTAAAAATGACCACTATTTCTGCAAGACAGGGTAATAAGGGACATTCTGCCTCCTGAGGTAATAAGAGACACCCCTAAAAATGAGTATACATAGAAATTTGCTTAGCAAGGGCTCCAGTTAACAAAAAAATTATTAACAACAAAGAATTTTGATAAATTTTGCCACAATGTTTTATTTCAAGTGTTCCAAATTACCCCTTTTCCAGGTGTAATTTGGTACATTTATTTTGCCTCTGGCACCTTACAAATAGCATAAAAATTTTTTGGAGATGCTATATGATAGCCCTCACAAAGAACTTTAAAATGAGCCTAAATTTGTTTATGAAATGTTTCATGGTAAGAAGTTATTAACAAAAAACACTCAAAATCATCCTTTATTATCCTGTTTGATGATATGATGCAAACCAATCATTGCTGATAATTTAATGTGCACTGGTTATGGAAATTTTTATTGTGCAGTATTATTTAATTTTTTGATAAAATCAAGGTAGTGATACCACTTGAGATACCAAATGAATTTTTTTATATAATGCAACTCAAACTCTAAGCTATTTTCCAGCTGCATCTCCCTTATGATATGTACTGTACTACTCTGCACTGAGGCCAACACTAATAATAATACCTCTTTATTGCTGTATGTATGAGAACCTAGTGTGAAAAACATATAGGATAATTGTTAAAATTTCACCACAATCAATAGGTTGACTTGAGATGCTGCCTGAAATTGGTCCACTGACCCACTAAGTGACCCATTTAATAAAATGAGATTATAGGTTCAGAAAAATGTAAAGGCTGAGCTGCAGAGTAGCCCTAATTAACTCCTGGTACTAATAAGCTAATGTCAAATTTTGTCATTGTGTTTTCTGTTATTTGTATGTTTTGTATGGTTCCACATATTTCTGAAGCTGTTGCTTTAGTTATTATCTAACTACATTGGATTGAGTGTTGGTTTTCTTTCAGAAGTGATTTATAGTTGCACCAACTGGTTTATAGTTAGTATCAGATTCATTGATGCCTCTTCAAAGCACACCAATTTTATTGCATTAAGGATAGTACTTTGTGACAAAGATGGAGGATGTACCTGCAATGAATACAATTTCTGCTGCTGGTGAGGATCTTGGTGCTGATCATGACGGCAGTCTTAACTCAGGTGAGAGCTGCAGACCAATTCTCAATTTGCAAGAGGCTATTAAATCACCAGGTATAGTGAACAAATGAATACAGCAATCCCTTGATTAGCACGGTTTTGAATACCGCGGTTTTGATTAACGCGGAAAAAAATTAGCAACCTACCCTTAATCTACGCGGTGCCAGTTTTGATTAGCGCGACTTTTTTTTCACAACGCATCATTTTTCCGCCTCTAGCCAGAGGTGTTACATTCGTAACAAAAGTGTTACTTTTTGCTTATTAGATCTTATGTTGTTACTTTTGTTACGATTTTTGGAAATAGTACATTTATACTAAACCATGAATAACAATACCTCAATATAAATTAAAGACTGCCACTCAATATATTTAAATATATGAAAAAATAAAAAAAATCGAAGAAATAAAAAAATATTGATTTTTTTATAAAAAAATCAAGTGATTTAATCACATGATTTAATCATTTTGATTTAATCATTTTGATTTAATCATTGCCAACCCTGTTATTTAATTTTTTAATAAATTTGGGGTAGTGATGTACCTCTTAAGATACCAAATGAATTTTTTTTATATAGTTGCAACACAAACTATAAGCTATTTTCCAGCTGCATCTCCTTTATGATATGTGACCTCTGCACTGAGGCCAAAACTAATAATAATACCTCTTTATTGCTGTATGCATGAGAACCTAGTGTGAAAAACATATCCGATAATTGTTAAAATTTCTCCACAATCAATAGGTTGAATTGAGATGCTGTCTGAAATTGGTCCACTTGCTGTAAGCGACCTATTTAATAAAATGAGATTATAGCTTCAGAAAAATGTAAAGGCTGAGCTGCAGAGTAGCCCTAATTAACTCCTGGTACTAATAAGCTAATGCCAAATTTTGTCATTGTGTTCAGAGAATCATTTTTAAAACTTTTTGCCTATTTTCTGTTATTTGTATATTTTGCTTGGTTCCTCATATTTCTGAAGCTGTTACTTTAGTTATTATCTAACTACATTGGATTGAGTGTTGGTTTTCTTTCAGAAGTGATTTATAGTTGCACCAACAGGTTATAGTTAGTATCAGATTCATTGATGCCTCTTCAAAGCACACCAATTTTATTGCATTAAGGATAGTACTTTGTGACAAAGATGGAGGATGTACCTGCAATGAATTCAATTTCTGCTGCTGGTGGTGAGGATCTTGGTGCTGATCATGACGGCAGTCTTAACTCAGGTGAGAGCTGCAGACCGATTCTGAATTTGCAAGAGGCTATTAAATCACCAAGTATAGTGTACAAATGAATATTTTAGCTTTAAAAAAGTGCACTGTTAATTTTAATCAATTGTTTAACAACACATTTTGTTGATTTTTTGCTTTAAAGACTGTGACTATGAACATCCTTGCTTTAAAGACTATGAACATCCTTGTTATTCCATGCAAGTCATTTGATACAGATTTATTCAATAACAGAAATGCAGATATAAATTAGCTAATGATTACCAAGCTGCCTATTACTTATTTTATTTCATTTTTCAGGAATAGTAAAGCCTGAGCCGTTTAATGACTTGAACATCAAACCAGAAAATGTTGAGGAGTTTTTTGGAGTCAAGGAGGAGAGGGAGTTATTTTCCATGGATGATATTGAGGTTGGTCTAATTAATATCTATTGCTGATCCTAATACACTGTATAGCTCCATCCTTGGTTATAAAACAAAGTTTTATTTTTTATATTAGGATTTCCGTGACACTCTAATTTTGTTCTATTTTAGTTTGACAGCAACAGCCACTCAGCTACTGGTGGTCCTGAAGCTTCACTATCCCAAGCTTCAAGAATCTATAAGGAAGATGGTGAAGCTCCTGAAGTAAATCATGGCATCAACCATAACAGCAGTGATAAGGAAGACTTAATCACTAAAACTTCAAATACTGAGCCTGATAAAGAGCCTGTGTCATCAGTTAAATTGCTCATAGTGCTGCACAAGATATCGGCTGCGGACGTTGATCAGTTGTGTGCTGAACATGACATCAGTCCACATTCAGCTGAGAGCTGCAAACAGATGTTGCATCCAAAGGAGTCCAGTGAATTACCAGGTACATAGCTTGGAAATATTTCAACATTTATGTTTATTGTGTGTATCATTTGCTATCATGGCTGTTACAATGTTACTTAACATTGCCTAATTCTGCCAAATTTGTTTAATTATCTCTGTGATGTCAATTTTATAAATGGGAACCATAATGATAATTCCTCTTGCTATGATTCTTAACTTATATTTATTATATTTTTATTTATTTTTATTTATTTATTTATATTTTTATTTATTATATTTATTATATTTTAACTTTTATTTCTCCACTACTCCAGCTATCCATAAGCAGAAGTCTCTTCATGGAGCTGAAGCAGGACGAACCAAGCCAAGTAGGATGTGTCAGCTCCATGGAGTTGGGAATGAAGATTCATCTCCCGTGGATAGAAATTTGGTAAGGGGAATTTTTTAAATGTACAACCTTAACATTCCAAGAATATTATGAGGATCTGTTGTGTGATGTTATTTATATTATATACTACAATTTTAAGGTCTGATAAGGTTAAACAGGTGCAGCTAATATTTTGTTCTGTTGCTTAATGGGAAACACTAACTCTGTGTGAGGAAATTTACTGTGCAAATTTGGATCCTTATTCAATTAGGTATCAAATCTGACCATGATAAAATCCAATAGTCAAACTTGAATCAAAGTGGCTAGCAGCACATATTAATGCTTATAGAAAAATTGATGCAATGGTTGCAGTGTTAGGTTAGGAGAGTCATAGTCAATGGGAGAGTTATAATCTGATAGTGCAAGATTGATGAACAAGAAAGATAAATTATTAAATGCAATATTAGAATCTTTATTCTTTTTAGTGAATTTTCTCATTTATGGAAAAAATGCACTATTGTGCTTGTCATGTCCGTCCGTCTGTCTGTCCGTCTGTCCATGACCTCGAGTTTTCGTCGACGAGAAAATGCGCTCTCTGTCACTCACTGCAGTGAGTACTGAGTTATATTTTTTGAATTATGGAAGAATGATATACTTCAGGCTTACATGTAATTCAATAAGTACAAAATTACAAGTGAATAATAAGCTGTTGTGAAATTGTTCTGCTCCTTACAGCTCAATGAATTTTCCCACCCTACTCGTTACTTGTGGAGTGAACTTACCATAATATTTTTAGATCTGTGTGAGAGTTTCATTTCAGACTTCTTTGCTTGAAGATTGCTCTTACCAAAGAGTACATATAAGTGAGGTATATTGTTTATGCTAATTATTTCTTAGCTTACATTACATTTCATCCCCTATTTAAGCCTGGGGATGCCTGCTCATAGGGATGAAAAACCTTTTCAGGAGTATAAACTATTTTATTATATAACGTGAACTTATAATTATGTTTGGTTGCAGTATTTTTGTGCAAAACTGGTAGACCCACTTCTGTGAAATTTCTGGTGAATTTTCTCAAACTTGGCAATTAATTCTCATTTAGTGAGAATTGAAATCTTCCTCACACTTTGTATTTTGATAAAGCTGGTGGAAAATTCGATTATATTCAACAACAATCAATTGTGTTTCTGTGTAATAACCAAAATTGTTTGTGGTTAAGAAATATTGAGCAAAAATTTTTCAACATGAAATGCCAAGAGGAGCAATATGCAGTAAAATCAAAAGTGGTGTCAACATTGAAAAGAACCCTTAGACCTGACACTGATTTTGAACATTGAAGAATTTTCGCAGCTTATTGCTGTCTCAAACATGCAATTCAGTTCCCCATTTCTGCTGTGCTTAACTGCCTGGCACCCTTGCCGATTCTGACTAGAATGGTTGCAGGTAGCTGGGATTGAACCCACAACTCACTGCTCCCAAGTAACCACTCTGAAATGTAAACATCGGATCATTCTTTAGGAAGGTATCTGAGATTAGAGAAATTGTTCTGCATTATTGAAAGCTCAGCTTATTTGGAACCAATGCCAAAGGCTTCATTCAGCTCTGACAATTAAATGCAAGTGTTCACTATTCATTTGAGGAAATTTCAGTCTCAGCCTAACATTGTTTGTACATGAGCAGGTTGTGATAAGTCCCACCACTGCAACTGTTGATTTAAAGACGAAGCAACGTCCATCATTGAAAAGTGAAGTGTTTAAGGCATCATCTGATAAAACTGTGGTGCCATCTTCACATCACAAAACTGATGTGTGCAAAGTTGCCAGTAGAACCTCAGGGACTTCTCTGCACACAACTCTACACTCAAAATTGAGGCCTCGGAACTATTCTCATTGCAGATTGTCTGCCAGTCAGAAATGTAGTCTTTTTCAGCCCTCGGCTTGTGTTAAGAAAATGAAGCCTCTCAACTGTAATGGTTGCTCCCATGCTAACTGTAATAAATTGCATGTGGTGGGACCTGAATCTAATGTTAAATCTAATTCTGAATTGAAGTGTCATAAGTGCTCTGTTTGCACCTATGCAACCAGTATAAAAGGTAATCTAACTCAACATGTTGCAGCTGTTCACAAAAATGTGAGGCCTCATAAATGTAACATCTGCAGCTACTCAAGCAGTCAGAAAAGTCATCTAACTCAACATGTTGCAGCTGTTCACAAAAAATTGAGGCCTCATAAATGTAACATCTGCGGCTACTCAAGCAGTCGGAAAAGTCATATAACTCAACATGTTAATGCTGTTCACAAAAAATTGCAGCCTCATAAATGTAACATCTGCAGCTACGCAGCCAGTCTGAAAAGTAATCTAACTGAACATGTTGCAGCTGTTCACAAAAATGTGAGGCCTCATAAATGTAACATCTGCGGCTACTCAAGCAGTCGGAAAAGTAATCTAACTAAACATGTTGCTGCAGTTCACAAGAATTTGAAGCCTCATAAGTGAAACATCTGCTGCTTGAGTAGCTGCAGATCTCATAAAAGTGATCTAACTCAACATGTTGCTGCAGTCTTAAGAAGTCCTATGCATTGTTGTTGTATTGTTGGAATAGAGGAATATCTTCAATGGTAATCTACAAGTTCAAGTCAATCAGATCCATAGAAAGCTTACTACTTATTCTCTGTTAACCAACCCCAGCTTGTTATCATTTAGGACTGCCATGTTCAGTGTTTGACAGAGATATTTCTTCATTGAATTGGTGTGTATCATTGAAATCATTGGTGACCATGGAAAAGACTATTTTTTGCCATATTTTTTATGTTGCATTTTCCGTTCAATAAAGTAGCCATTAGAAATAACGGGAGTAAGAAATTTAATTGTTTTTCAAGCTCATCGTCTATTTGTTTAATAATCTTTGATGGAGATACCAAATGAGTGATGTTTTATGTGATTTCTGCAGTCTTGAATGACAACGTTGTTTGGTGCATGTCATGACATGTCATCAAATTTCTTCATTTATAAATGTCAGATGCTTGTGTTCAATGTTGATAAGTTTTAACAGTTCATGATGGTCAGGGATATGATCAAAATGCGACCCGGCAGATTTAAAGTATAGTATGCACAACAGAAACTCGCAAATATTTTCTAGAAGAATTGTTTCTTTAGAAGAGAATAGTTTCTACTGTAACAATAGGTTGATGTCATTTTCACTCTATTTCATGGAAATCATACCTAGATCACTTCTGCACTCATTGTGTTTAGCTAAACTTGACTTTTATTGCAATAAAATGCAATAAAATTACTATTTTATTGCATTTTATACTTCAAAAATTAATTTTCTGCCTCATTTCTTACAACAGAAATTCTAAATTTGCTGTATTTGTTAAATATGTACAAAAATTATCACGTCAATGCACTTCTTCAATAAAAAATGTAATACATACTTTTCCACATTTATTTAGTGTAAAACTTATTACTTAGCTGGAATTTTTACTATATAACATTTATTACTTGCTGCATTTTCTGCATAAAATACTCATCACTTCACTGCATTCCTGCTATAAAATCTTTATTACTTTGCTGCATTTCCCTCTTAAAAAACATTTACTTTGCTGTTTTTCCTCAAAACAAAGCGTAGTCCTCTGCTGGATTTGTTAAAACAAAGCTTCAAAAATTACATTGGAGAGGGATTTTTAATTTCTTGTATTTTAAGAATGGATCTTTTTATTTCTGGTATTACTTTAGTATAGAACTAACCAATTCCTTGTGTATTACCTTAGTATGAAACTTACCAATTTCTTGTATTACTTTAGACTGCTACTTCATAACTTCTTGCAATTTTTAAAAAATGAAAATTTTAATTTTTCCATTACCTCAATGTGAATTACATTAGGATGAAGATGATTAATTTCATGCATTTACTTTGAATAGGACTTTGATTTTCTTGAATTTCCTTAGTATGGAGCCCATTATTTTTTGCTTCATTTAAGAATGGAACTTTCAGCTTCTTGCGTTATCTTAGACTTAACCAAAGCCTAATTGATGATTAACTGATCGTTTGCACTAGGCTAACATTGTTTATCCCAGTATGAATGGGTGAACAGTAACATGAAAGGATTTTTTTTATTATTTTATTGCTATTCTGTTCCTACAATTTTTGCCCTCAATATGAACTCTGTTTAGTATGAGGCCAGGAGGTGGCTATTTTCAGGCTGGCTGATACTGCCCTAGCCTCTATGATCACCTCATTTTCAGATGCCAGGCGGGAAGCATTACATTCATTTCAAATGTTCTCTTCAATAATATAAGCATTCTGAACTAACTCAGCTCATGAATTAGTAGTATTATTGCTACGGATTTAATTTTATTTCATTTTTTTTTGTAAAGGCAGATTACTTGAAAAAATGTGGTCATTTGTATGGTTTTTCAATGTGAAGATTCATTTAATAAACTTAGGAAATTCATAATGTGATATTACTTTTCCTGACTCGATAAAACCTATATTTCATGGCACGCATGAAAAATTTCAAGATTTCTATTTGTTGAACCACTTAAATGCAATTTTTCATCTTGGAATAATTATTTAAAATAATTTTGTATACATATTTTTTTTAGAAAAAGAAATACTTTCTTTTGCAGGCATGTTTGGCCTTTTTATAATAGCAGAAAAATAAAATGCAGAGCAAATTGTGATATAAAGTTGAACTGTGTCTAGAAAACTTGTACAATTGTGTAGACTGAAGTAGTGTGCCATAATCTGGGAATGAATGTGGCGTTATCAAGAGACGAGACTAGATGACTTTTCAACATGGTCTATGGAGCCTCAATTATTCACATGTGAATTATTTCACGAGTCCATTCACACATCACAAGTTTTATTTGTTGCTCAATTTTATTGATTTGCACAATAATTATAATTGAGTTCAAAGCAAAGTTCATCGGGACATTTATTTAAGTTATCAAAACAGCTATATAGCATCATATTAGGCTAGGATAGATTGGATCAAATGATCAGTTGTAAGAAATCTTCTAAGCAAATTAAGAAAAATGCAGGAATTGGCGATGGGCTATGCATGTTCAATCAACCATGGCGCTGCTATATTAAATCAGGTAACCAAGTCTGATTTGATCTGCTACAATTTCAAGGACTTGAGTATTTAATAAATTGTAGTATATAAGTACGTATATTCAGGTTCGGAAAAAAGCACTTTTCCGAACCTGAATACAGGGGTCTTGAGGTGTTTGACTGGTCTGGGGGTCTGCCGAACCTGATATGGAATTTGAATTAATCATGGTAATTGATATTAGAATATTTGCTGTGTTATGTGGAGACCCATTCTCATTTACTCTGCAAGGAGGCAGGAATTTCCTGCTTAGGGGTATTTGCAAACCCACAATTCCTGAAGTGCAAGTTGTGTGAGTAAACATATACTATTTGATTTGGTATCTAATGACTATTACTGACTAATCTGTGTCAAATATAACAGAGTTACTTGAATATTTTTGTAGTGCACTCTTGGTAGTGACTAATATCAAGACCGGCCTGCTGGGCTCTACCAAGCAACCAAAACCTGGGCCTGGATTGGTTTGTCATGCCAGGATCATGATAAATGAAAGGCTACAAATTATCTGAAACCTTGAGAAAAGCTGAAAATCAGTTTATTTACAAAAATCTCGTCTGAACAGCATATCAGTGTGCTGGTCCACATTCTATTGATTATTTTGATCTACAAATGGATTTTTCTGTAACCTGAATACAGGGGTCTTAGAGCATTTGACTGGTCTGGGGCCTGCCGGACCTGATAGGGAATTTTTAAAGGTAAATTTACATAATTCAGTAGAAATGTTTTATGTTTTCTGGACATTCCTGAAATCCTAATGGGATAATAAATTAGAAAATTTGCAATTCAAAATTTTAAGTTCTCTTATTGTTTCAAATGATTTGCAATCTATAATTTTTTCTAGACTGAAAAAATTATTTTTTCAATTTTACAAATTACAAAAAAGAAATTCAATTTTAAAATTATATATCCTGTTAATTTATTCATGCATTGTCTTCAACTTTACACAAGTGTGCAAAATTTTAGATCAATTGGACAGGTATAAGTGTGTTAAGTATCGATTATAAGATTTGTAGCAGACAGACAAACAAACAGACAAGAAGTGAAGTTGAAGAGTCCGATGTATCTGTGTGACGAAGGGACGAAGAGGTTGGTTGACGAAGGGACAAAGAGGTTGGTTGACGAAGGGACGAAGAGGTTGGTTGAGGACGAAGGGGACGACCGCGGGGAGTGGGACAATCAGTGCGAGTTTATCCTCTCCTGTCTCGGCTACGCTGTAGGATACGGCAACGTCTGGCGCTTCCCCTACCTCTGCTACAAGAATGGCGGGGGTGAGTGTGGTGGGGATGAGTGTAGTGGGGATGAGTGTGGTGGGGATGAGTGGTTGGGATGAGTGTGGTGGGGATGAGTGTGGTGGGGATGAGTGTGGTGGGGATGAGTGTGGTGGGGATGAGTGTGGTGGGATGAGTGTGGTGGGGATGAGTGTGGTGGGGGTGAATGTGGTGGGGATGAGTGTGGTGGGGATGAATGTGGTGGGGATGAGTGTGATGGGGATGAGTGTGGTGGGGATGAGTGTGGTGGGGATGAGTGTGAATTTCATCATGCTGCAAGGAAATTAATAACTTAATAAGTAGAAATCATATCTATATTTCTTGAAATACTAAATCATTTTTGCTTCATACCTAATAGATTAGGTATATATAACCCAATTTACAATTAATCTTTACATTTCAAAAATACAAACTCGAAATATACCACTCTGAATCATAAGCAGTGCTATGTTTCATATAAAATCAGTAAATGAATAAAACTGATATGAAAATCATTAAATCCCTGACCCTACCCTTTGATAGAAACAGCAATGTTATAAATGGATAATGTTCAACCAAGGGCATCATAGTTCAACCTCTAGCAGAACCTGAGTTCTTTGACTGAATGTTGAGTGAATTCTGAGTGTAGTTTATGAATAATCCTTTTTGTTATTTTTGCAAGAAAAAATTATAAAGTATCATCAGTCATTGGTCCTCTAAAGGCCAGAATGGAATAGGCAGTACTAATCCTATCCTATATGAGAGAATACTCTAGCAATAACAGCATGACAGTTTATGTTTTCAATGAGAAGGTTTGCTAAATACAGGAGCAAAAAATCCTTAATTGATCTTTGACAGCAATAAATGAACTTCTAGTAACAGCTGAAATGAGAGCTAACCTGAACTATGATATGTCTTTTATTGACAACTAACAGCCAATTAATAAGTTCGGAAAATGTAGAAGGAAAGCTGGAAATGACACGATTCTTACACCTAATTAGGAATAATATTCTTAGTTACAGTCCGTCACTGAACAAGAAAGTTAAATACGCATTTATGGATTTTCAAGTGGTTCAGTAACTACAAAAGCATTGGCGATCCTCACTACAGCTGGTACAAGAACTGAAAGTGATGCAGACATGCTTACAACTGATGCAGACATGCTTGTAAGTGATGCGGACATGCTTGTTGTATTCGCCAGGATTTCTCCTTTGGACACTAAGCATTTCACTCGCCATGGTGTGATTTGGTGCATCACTGCTACGCTTCTTTCTTTTACGAGTTTCACGGGACACATTTTTGCCAACATTTGTCGTACCAGGCTCGGTAGGGGTGGAGGTCACTTGTTCTGCAGGGTTTGTCCTAGGCTTTGTAAGGGTCCAAGTTTGAGGCACTGTTGGTGTGATTCTCCTCTCAGTTGAAGATGGATCACAAGGATTGATGACCCTTTGAGCAGCAGCATCAATGCTTGAGGGACCTTCGCGAGTGTCATGAAAATCTTTAGCCAGTGTCCCAGCACCAGGTAAATCATCAACAGTTCCATCCAAATACACAATCTCGCATAACTCTTGGGCCTCCTCAAGCTGTTCTTTTCCAACTGAAAAAGCAAACAAAGAGATGTTATGATATAGTGAAGATTTATAATTCTTCATGTGCAAGCAATATTTTACGTTTTACAGTTAATGTATAGAATCTGCTGTCTAATTGAAAAAGATTTATATTTAATGAGTTCATAGATATGTTGCACTGACTTAGCATTCAAAATGCTTATCAAAGGACAGTAATTTAAAAATCTCACAATTATTTAGCAATTCAATTCAAATTGATTGAATTACCGGTATTTCATTACAATTATTTCATATAAGTGAATAATTAAGTAAGAAATAGAAAATTACTATTTAAATTGATCATTCACTGTCATCAATATGTGATTGCAGGGATCTATTGAACACTGATAAGGACATAAATTCATTGTGACAACAATATCAAATAAATTTATCTGCATCAAAATCTGTGTAAACTTAATGCTTAGCAGAAGTATAAAATAAACGTAAATGAATTAAACTTCTCATTTCTATTATAATAATAATGGAATTGTGAAGATACTTTCGCTATTGTACTCACCTGCACTTGAAACATCAACTTCACTTTCAGGGACTCCAGCTCCAAACACAGCAGTTGTTGACAAAAGAGGTATATAACATGGCCTTTTCAATATCAGAATACTTCACATTCACAGCAGGCCCTCCACCTAAATGAGATTAGAAGAAACATGTCAAGCCAAAATAAGTTTAAGATCAAATTCATATGTGTCACCACTCACACTCAGGCACTCACCCAAGGTGTGATTGTAAGTGTTGTTATGACCGGATGACCCTATATACCTAGTATCAATGACATGCTTGAACATATTACACTAAATGTTGGTATGTTGAAAGTATATACATTTATAATGGATTGCTTTTGTAAAACATTGGAAAAATTTTGTTAGTTACTTTAATGATAGTAATTTGGCAAAGGCCATGACCCCCATAAGCATGGGTCAAATTATTTAATTTGTGAACTTGTGTACTTTTGCTTATTGAGTGACTTCCGTCAGAATTCAATTTTAGGATTTAGAGTATAAGATCAATTTGTTTGACAAAGATAAAGTAACTGATTTTGCCCTGAGGCTTATTTCAAGTGAATCATCTTTCATTGGCAAAAGGTACTTAGCTATTAATTTGATAAGTAAAAAATTAGTTTACTCTCCAGCAAGTTCAATAAAATTCAATTTTATTGTTAGTAGATACTTATATGCGCAAAATATTGTCACTTTTGTCAGTGGCAATGTACATTGAATTACCCAACAAATGCACTCGCCAGTTGATTCAATATAGCGTTATAGCCTATTTGTTATCAGCTGCCACCTTTTTCTTCAAGTGTGTTTTCATATCATAAAATTTTTTACGGACTTCTGCTGCAGCTCTCTTTACCGTTGAGACACAATCTGTCACAGCTTGCCATTGCAAACTGCTTAACTTTTGAAGTTATTTTTCGTCTAACTTGCCAAATAGAATGTCACGTCTTTCGAAAGCAGCAGTTGTTATTGCCATCAGTTCTTCCCCTGTGAAATTCAGTCTTCTTCTTTTATGTTCCATTTTTAAACAAACATTTTTCTGAATTTTGATCAATAAAGGTAAAATGGTATTATAAGTAGGCATTTCATGTAATAAACTGTAGTTTAAAAACGAATAGTGATGTTAAGAATATTGATTAAGCTTCGGCACAAATAAATAAAAAAAATCAGCGAAAGTAAATCAAAAGAGGTAACAGAGGTAATTTCCAAAATTGTTTATTTCATGAAATGAATCCACCTCGCACAGACACTAGACTAGTAAATTAAAATTACCTATCCATCTCATGGGCACAATTTTTATTTTTCAACGCAGTCATTTCAGGCAAGACGCGCCCTTCTCATGTGCACCTTCTGAAAATTTCACTTCGACGGTTCGCAATGTAAAAGTCACAATAAATGTAGTCGTTTGCTATTCAAAAAAGACATTTACCGATGCAAAATTTGTGCAACGATGTCTAAATACCAAGATAATTGATAAAAATTTCGAAACCATGGGACATCAGTGCTCCACGGAACTTGACTTTAAAGTTAACAAAACCCTGCACGCTGATTGGCTCATGAGCGGGAGTGTTTGAAGGTACCGATTTACATAAGTCCTATAGAAGGTACCGATAAAGTACGGGCCCAGTTGGAGTTGCGTGTCCTCAGCGGACTTACGCAGTTTTTAAGTCGCTAAGTGCACTTTCGAATGTTTTGAAGGTACGGCCCCCGGAGAGTATTTGGTTAACAGTCCGCAGGCGCCAGTGCGTTGTTTGGAGCTGTCGAGTGAGGTCTGCGTGGTGGAATATGCAACGTAACGATAATGACGCGTTTGAGGAAGCAGTTGGTGGCATAGTTGCCACGCTACCTGAGGAGGTAAAAAACTTTAGATCAATTTAATGTCTGGGTGAGAAAAATTCAAAATCATCTGCAGAACACCTGTTAACGCTCTTAGTACTGTTGTCGTTGGGACAAGACGCAGTTCATAACATTAGAGAATGCAGAGGTACCCAAGCAGGATGCAGAGTGACACATGTGTACTCACTTCGACTGCTGCAGCCCGACTATAGAATCACTGTAGTACTGTACCGCACATAACTTGAACTGCTTCGGGCGCCAATGCATCAGCTACTCGAATCCGACGAATAAATCATCACAATATTCGGAGTGCGAGTTTTCGAAGCGAATACAAGCAATGCGTATAAGCACCTTTATTCTGGGCAGCTGAATTTGCATTGTATTTCCACCTCTGTGATACTCGCCCATCTTACATTCCTGTTCATAAAAGTATAAATGAAGACATTAATAATTAATAATAATTTTTGTTAACGAGCATGTGTTTTGTTGCCTGCATAGTGTTCCAACTGCAGAGCGTCCCACCTCCACATCACCCCACCTCCACGAACCAGCTTGGCAACACAGACAACAGCCTCACATGGGTGTGCGAAAGGGGGTGGGCGAGAGAGTGTAACTCAAAGGCTCTAACTTTGGCTCCTGAGTCCAGTCGACTCACTCGACTGCGCAGTGCACAAGCACATGTGTCTGCTTATGTGAAGACAGTCTGTCCTCACGGGTTGTTTGGCCTGACTTCGCCGCACTAAATTCCGTGTATTTGAACGTCTTTAGAGAATTCGCAATGATCGGATAGCTGGTTTAGCGTCTAGAATTATTTTCTACAAAGCTAGGGAGTGAGGCACATATTTTGATACGGACGATAGACATAGTGAGGCACATATTTTGATACTGCACTGCGTCTGATAGACGCAGTGCAGTGACGCCGCTTCCTCGAGTCTGCGAGAGTGAATGCATGACCATGATGGCAAACTACACCCGTAAGCAGTGGTTAACGCTCATCGTGTTCTGCATTGCACAGTTCTGTAGTGGCGTGTGCTTTTCAATACAAGCACCATTCTACCCACATGAAGCTGAGAAGAAAGGTGCCACAGCCACGCAGTACAGTTTCGTGTTTGCAGTTTTCCAACTGGTGGTGTTTACTGTGTGTCCAATATACGGACAGTTCTTGGAGAGAATAGGAGTCAACTTTCTGAAAAATGCTGGAATTTCAACTGTTTCAGTATCGTGCATTTTATTTGGATTTCTTAACCGGATGAGCGGACCTAATGTTTTCTTAACTTTCTCGTTCATCATTCGGATAATGGAAGCGCTGGGTGGGGCCGCCTTCAGCACTACAGCTTATAGCATTACAGCGCAGGAATTCCCCTTGAATGTTGCTTCTGCTTTTGCCACTCTCGAAACTTTCTTCGCGCTTGGTTTGATAGCGGGACCCACAGTCGGAGGCGCTTTGTACGAGTTGGGAGGCTTCACTCTGCCCTTTGTGGTGCTAGGCTGCGTTTTGATGGTCGCAGCGGCCATTGTGTGGTACTTCTTACCTGTGGAAGGTAGTCTCACCAGACCAACTTCAAGATACTCGGTGTTTTCGCTTATGAAGAAACCAAAAATATTACTTTTCGCCTTCACAACAATGTCGGGGTCTATCAGCATTGGCTTCTTGTTTTCAACTCTGGAGCCCCATATACGTCCGTGGAATCTCACTCCTCTGGAGATTGGCCTAATCTTCGTTATAGACGGCTTCTCGTACTCCGTTTCTGCGCAGCTTTGGGGCCGTTTATGCGACAGATGTCTACCAGAGCGAGCTGCTACAACGATGGGGGCTTTAACAGCCACAGTGGCTTTCTTACTGTTGGGTCCTTCACCCATCCTACCCATTAAAAACAGCATACCACTGTGCATCTGTGCCTTGGTGGTTCATGGCTTTGGTTTCGGGGCCGAGTTTGTGGCCACTTTCAGCGGAATGCATAAGGAAGCCGTTGAGGCTGGGCTTCCGGACGATCTCACAACCTACGGACTAGTAGCCGGACTCTGGAATTCTTCTTTTGCGCTTGGCGGCTTCATCGGGCCATCCATCGCCGGGGTCATGTTTGACACCATTGGCTTTGGTTGGGGCACCTCCATCATTGCACTGCTTCACCTATTTGTGGCCATTGTGACAATCTTTCTATCTTGCTACTACCGCTACTACCCAAACGAAGATTTTTCTGAAAGAACGGCTCTTTTTCGACGATCAGTAAGAAAAAGTGAATCCGCCTACTTCACGTATAGAAGCGGCTGCAACTCAACCCTCGTATCTCGTGAGGATATCGCCATAGGTACAGTTGATTAAATTATTACTGGCTTTGTATATTTTCACTTGTTGCCTTGTGCCTCACAGCCAAAGAAAAGCTGTCGTAAGTCAAAAATATAATAGTTTCGTAATTTTGTGTAGTCATTTCTATTCACTAAGAATTAAAGGTTTTTGTTTGGGATTGTAAGGTTGCAACTCGGATGGCGTGTGATGATTTAAATTTTATTATGAATATACATTCAGCTTCTACCTTTACTCAACACCTACAATGAATCCTAGTTCCTTGAATAGTTCACGTAATCCCTTGTTTCGTGTTAGAGCTGCGTGCTTGAAAAATCACATCATGCTCATTTGAAACTGTACCGTAGATTGCAACAAATGCAGCGAATTTTCTTTTATCACGAGATATGGAATGGGTGAAACCTCTCGTATACAAGAGTTATTGGATTGTAGTTATGTGCTTGTAGTTATGTGCTTGTAGTTATGCAGTCTCAATTGCATATGGAGGACTTGTACGATATTTATAGCGTTTGCGTGCTCGTGCATCACTTCTTAACCTATATGTATCGTGTATTGTTATAAGCGTTTATTATCTCATTTTGTGCGGATTAGTGTCACCAAATTGTGCATTGTTTCAGATCCAAGCCCAAGAAATTTTACGTCTATTTCTGCATAGGAAGTTTAGTGAAATAATTTAGGCTCTTTGAGTGCCAGTGCCTCGCATATTCAGTGTCATTATACGTGCTTTTTGAAACACGATTTTATCAACAATCGTGTGTTGCTCTCTTCTAATATTCATAACTGCTGCCACCTAATGATTCTGGACGTGGATCTGTTATATAACATATGCCTGCTGTACTATTAGAGGTAATTTAATACAAAAAATATGAACACACTTTCATTAAATTTGATATGCTAAAGCTAAAACTGTGATTGAAACTCTTTTTGAAAGCTTGTCTTATTATATAGTATTTCTAAAACAGTAATCTGATATTTTATTCTCATCGCATGTATCTCATTTAAAAGCGGATGTCTGATGGCATCTAATCTGTCAATTTAGTCCCTACATTTGATGGTGCAATTTCATTATTTCAAAATTTTTGGATTCTTTAGGCATTAAATATTTTCATTCAAATGTATAAATTGTGAGAGTGTTGCACAAGAATCTGGTGCGTCAGTTTGTTATTATCCCGCCAGATCTTTTTTATATTAAATACGTTTGGGCGTTGGTTGGAACCTGGTGCAGAGTATTGAAGGTGCTGAGTAAGTCAAGTTCTCACTAGTGTTATAACATTATTGAATTGTATTGTTTTTAATGATGATAATCAATGCTGGTGTCAATACAAGCGTCACAAGGCAAGAAAAAATTTGCACTGCTGCATAGTATTTAATGGCCCGGCAACAGAGTTTTAGGTAGTTTCTTGTGGTATATGAGGAAAAAAATGATATAATATCATTGAAATTTAAAACCCGTAACACAACTGGTCCGAGAAACACTAGTTTTGTGCACATTACTTCCATTAAAATAAGTTTGTAAGCTCGCGCGTTACAGAAACCGGCTATGTTTCTTTCAAAGAGCCACAACATCCCATTATTTTCACATTTGTCAACGACTAACTGCTTTACACAACTGCTTTTGTAGGATCACACTGAAGATAAGTTAATGTTATCTATATTGATGCCGCTGGTGAGTCATCTCTATAATGGTAAGAATTTTTCAATGGTGGAGCAATTCTCCATACTTTATCGATATGATTTATTTTTAGCAATCGGATGGCACTGCATTAAATTAAGTCTTGTTATAGCCTACGCGTTGGGAAAGTATTTTAATTTATCATAAGTTGCTAGTCCCTTACCTCTCAATTGATATTATGATAATAGACGATGTTATATTGCAGTTGCACATCGCTATCAGCGAGTTACGATATGTCTTCTATCGGTTTTAAGTGCATGTCTTTCAAAGGCAGAACTTACGTAGAACGTTTATACATTATATTTTTGGTGCAGTGTTGATTTAACCTCACAATAAATGGTCAAAATTGTGAAATTTTAACGTGCGCATTTCACCCTGTCATTATGTTATATAGTTATGCAGTGTTCAAAAAAGTAGGTTCTAAAATGTTAAAGTCTAAAGCATTTATTGTAAATGTATATTAAAATTCTTCCCACTACCGAATTCTAGTTTAAAGGCTTCCTGCACCGTAGTTTTATTTACACTTGTTCTAGTAACTCCCGTTCCTACGAAGCTAACTTTAACATATCACTCTGCTAGTGTCGTTGACGATGCGTCCAACGTAGAGATAAATTTGCGTTTCAAGTTGTTTCATGTGATAAAGCGCCATCACATAAGACTGCCACAAGGCAGTCTTCCAGTCCAATTTCTTCATTATTTACCACACTTTTCCATTACCGACAAAGTAATTTTTATCGAACAGATTACGTCTTCTTATGAACCGTGAAGATGTTTGTTGGGCCTTCAGCCTCGTATTTTGCAGGCGTTTTCTTCAACGAGATGTGTGTGAATGGGAGAGTTATTACATATTTTCCTATTATCTTCGGAGTCTAGTTCTTCTAGCGTATTTTTATAGTTTTAAAATAGAAATTTCAATTTCCGGCTAAACTCGTCAATAAATCAGAGACTCTATGTTATGAATTATATTAGTTTTTATTTTATATATTGTAATTACCCTTATTACGAAAAGTGCATTATAAATCGAGTAATTGAAGATATACAATTGGATGTTTCAAGTAGTAGGTGATAAGAACTTCTAACCTGACACAAATGACTCAATGTTACACTATAAATAGGGATCTTTTTTGGTTCTTGCTTTTCTAATTATTTGTTTGACAACAAAATTTTATATCTGGAATTTGTCTCTTCATTCTGAGAATCTCATTATTGTTATTTATTCATAGGTTGTAGGAAGGATTTATGGAGTCGTTAGTTATTGTGTAGCATTCCTGATGTGCCATGCTTGCAGAGGTGGCATATAATGTGATATTGTTAGTTGTGTTGTCAGAAATTGTATTTTGTCTATTCGGAATAAAGACATTCCTTTTCAATTTTATGCTTTCACTTCCCTTTTGAACTTACATATTTTCGGACAAAAATCAATTGGGCATTACTAAAACTTTTCGGGATCGAAATTCGCTGCAAAAATTATCTGGGCTATTTAAGGTTTGTTTCAAATTTGGTTTTAATCATTTGCCCTGTGAATTAGTTTAAGAACACTTTTGTTATCACCATCATGTTAATCATTTCAATGCAAGTTATATGCCGCTACGAGCTTATGTGACAAGCGCGCGAAACTTTCAACAAGCTTCGGTTTTCGGAAATTCGCGTTTGAATCGATACATTTGATCTAATTATAAACCACTCGTCCGACGTAGGCTTTCCATGAAAAATTAATAAAATTATATTGCATATGAAAGCATAAGCTTGTCTTGCACCCGCTTGACATCCGAAAGATCCGTCGACTCGCGCCTTGGGTGCTACGGAGTCCGACGCCTCAGAATATTTCCGGTCTCTTCTTCACGGTCGTATATGGAGCGCTCGTGGTGAGTTTAATACGGTTCTTATTCCAACTCAACGCTCTTCGCAATGGTCAATGTGGATAAATGAACGCAAAACATGCTGCTTCATACAGTACAAGATAGTATCTTTGGCATTGAAGAATTGGCCTGTCGCCGGTTCTTGTACTTTTCACGACTAGTTCACAGATCTAAAAACAGGCCTCTTTATCAAATCTGTTCAACGGACGGTGGGTTGAATTCGTTTCTATATTATCAGTTGTTCCGTAAGGTACTAGGTATTTCAAAGGTAAACATATGCTCCTGTATGGCCTTGTCAAGTCTGTTCCTGTTCTTGAACGCGTTCATACTCGGAGCGTCAACAATATCATCATGAAGGCTGTTCCACATGTCGGTGACTCGAAGCGAGAAGTGTTGTCGCATGGATGAGTTGTACCATAGTTTTTTAGTTTTTGGCTGTGACCCCTGGTATTGGTTCTTGTTTCAAATTCTAGTAATCTTTCTTGGACCTTGTATAAACCATGAGTACCTATAATTGTAAACTTCAATGAGGTCACCTTGCAGACGTTGATAACACGTACTGGGAAGCTTCATAATCTTCAATCTTTCTTCACAAGACTTGCCCTTTGAGACTGAAATTATCCTTGTTGCACGTCTTTGAACACTTTCTACTTTCCAAGTTTCGGTGACCACAAGGCGTTTCCAAACTCTAGGTTCGGGCGCACTACAGACATAAACAACTGCTCCATGGCATCAATATGATCCAGGTACTCGTAGGAGCGTCTGATCAGTCTAAGAAGTTTATAAGATTTATTAACTTGCGTTTCGATATGTCTAGAAAATGTTAGCTCCTTGTCGACACAAACTCCCAGATCTTTTTCCACGAAAGAACTCGATCCTAACTCTCTCGTTGCAACCATGGCCTATTATGCTGTAAGCTTGCTGTTTGTTGCTCTTCCCGAGGTGAGATGGATTCCTTAAGTAAAAACTGCAGTGATGAATCAGAACTGGAGTTTGTCCCAACTGATTCCAGTTCTAACAGCATTACTGCTGAACCTCCAGAAGATTTATATGAGAATGCAAATAAAGCACTGCAGAAGGAAACCAGTGAAGAAAGAGCGGCTGATACATGGACTGCTGTTAGTGCAACATCAAGACAACATCTCTACAGGTAGAGAACAACATCGACGAAAACCACGCCCAACTGGTCCAGAAAACAGTAGCGCCATTTCATACTTATAATCTCTTTGTACCGGGAGAAATATTTTTGAAATAGTACCAGAAACAAACAAATATGCTGATCAAGTTTTGCAGAACACGAAGATTACAAGAAGATCGCGCTGAAATGCTGGACTCCCGCAAATGCTCTTGAAATAAATAAATTTTGGGGGGGCTCATAATTGCAATGGGATTAGTAAGCAAACCAAGGCTGGAACTTGCAGTGACTCGAATTTATATCTCGCACTGTCTTCACTTGTGAATGTCGCAATTAATTTAATTAATGCTTC